GCCATGCCAGCGTGGAGATATGATGATGATGGAGACGTTACGCGTGAAGAGTCCGCAGAGACCATCTCCTTCCTCACAACCACGAACATCATCCACCGCTTCTGGCGCCACAGCCAAGCACCACTATTTCGAAAGTTTTGCGCCACATTTTGATAGAGCTTTCGCTTCAAGATTTTTAAGGCGCTTGGATGGAGAACGTGGACTTGTCGGAGCTGCAAAAAGAAAGGCTTGACTTTGACCGGGACGTTGCAACTTCAATAGGTCCAACTCGTACTTCACACTATTTGCCAGATCTTTCTCGACCCTCTGCGGAGTCATGTGTTGATGTAGGTCTGCGCGGCCCCGGGGGTTGCCTGAGCCAGCTGGAAGCACCAACCGCTGCGCATATATGCTGATTGCTCAATATGCCCAGCTTGGACGCGTGAAACTTTCTCGGTTTGACATTTACCTTGTATTGGTGGTCAGGAGCTGAGGCTCAACGATCTTATGCTTGGAGCTGTCGGACGCAAACACCTGAAGCTTGTAGGCGCAATGTGCGCCCGAAGCTTCAGTGCCTTGCGCCCGGCCAAGCTCGATCAATGGGGCCTTGCAGGAATGAATGAGTTGGAGACGGAAAACCCGTCGCAATTTTACCAGACAAATTGATTTGGCGAGGAAAACCCGTCACGTTCCAGACGCGGGCCCCAACCCTAAAATGTGATTGCTTTTGGAAAAAACCGTCGCAATTAAGTAAGGAAAATGGAAACCCGTCAGACTTTCCAGCTCACTCCGAACTTCAAAAATCTTCAAAATGTGCTTGTTTTTTCCAAAACCTATGGAATTGTGATGGTTTTTTGAGAAATCAATCGCTTTTCTGGGGCCAGTCAAGCTTCCAGGTCGCGATGGTTTTCTGCCCAAAACCACTCAGCCAAATGGCTTTGGCCACCAAAAATGCGATGTTTTCTAAAACCCGTCGCAATTTGACCAGCCAAATCCATTTGGCCGGGAAAACCCGTCACAATTTGACCAGCCAAATCCACTTGGTATACCTAGGGTCCAACCGCTTTGCACTTGGAGTAATAAAGTGTTGCAAAACCCGTTTGGCATAAAGGACTTGTCACGGTTTTACTGTTAAATTGTGTTGGTTCAGCAAGGACACCTCAATTTCCAACAAAGACCAAAGCAGAAGGGCCGGGGTTTTGAGCTGGGTGCGCTTGACCTTAGTAGGCTATTTGACTGCCAGCTAGCTGGCAGCCCGTGTGCCACTTTACTGGCAGCCACAACCTGTTTGAGTTTGCGGTGTGTGCTTCTTGAAGCTTTAAGCTTCTGGAGGGGCTTTAGGACGAGGTGAGAGTTGTTCGAGTATAACGGTCGCGTCCGTTGAAGGTTGCCTTGAAGCTTCGTGATTCTTAGAACCGCGGCTTGTTGAGGCGATGTGGTAGCGGGGAGACAATATCGCGTCACATGGAAAACCAAAGTGAAAAATAGCATAAGCGAAGATTCAACATTTTGACCTGCTGGCTTGATTGCAATGCGCGCATGGAGCCTGGTAATTGAACTTGGCGCTATTTGCTATCATTATGGTTTTGAATGGGATGCCACGTGATGCGTGCAAGTGCTGCTTGTTTGCAAATTGCAGAAAATGCTGCGAGTCCGTGCAAAAAGCTGCCAGCTTGTGCTTTGGAGTTTACCGGACGGGTAGAAATTTGGACACCCACTTGCTATTTGGAGGACACCCGGCTCAGGCTAGATGAGCCTCATTGTAAACCTCTCTTTCAAAAACGGTGCAGCTTCTCGATTCTCATTCTCAGAAAACAACGCGCTTGCCTTTAAGGAATACGTCGTTTCTCTATCTTCAAAATGACAGAGTGTCTTTCAAAGAACATGCAGCTTTCACACAGAATGCGGCGCCTTAAGTGAAAACCATCTGCGCCTAAATGCCACTACAGGCGACTAAAGGTTGTCTACATCAAATCAGGTGTGAGTAGTTGGAGCACGCGTCATAGACGGCCGTGGCGTTTTTTCATTTTGTACTTTTCTATTTTTCCGCTTCGTACGCACATGCGTTTCACCGTGATATCACAAACACGCACACACACACATACATGGGTGGCGTGGGGTGGGTGGGTAATGACGTAATGATGTTATGGGCTATGGATGATTACATTATGATTGTGTGTTCTGAACGGTGTCAGTGAGGCCTCACAGGTTTGTTTTGTGGGTTGATCATCGAAAATTGCACTGCAGGTTGTGTCTCATGATATAGATATGCAACTCCATGAGGGAGTTGTGTTTGAGCAGTTTGGTTTCCCTTTGTTTAGTGTCGCTGTTGAGACTTTCAAAAAAACAATTGGCGTTTATTTCCGGATACCCTGAAAGACTTTTTTGCTTGAACGGCTCCTGAAGACGTGAAAAAACACCGAGGTGTCGTTAGTTTCTGGGGTTGTGAAGTGTTAGCGTTGAACTGTCTGTATTTCTGAGGCGCTTTGAACACATCTTTCTGATTTCTCACCAGTGCCCCTGTGAATACTGAATACAACGAATCACGCGCGTAGAAGAGCGAAGAAACACACCGCCGTCTATGGCGCGCATACCGAGTAGTTGGGCGCTTTTGAATGCTGTGTGTCAAGTTACAAGGCTGCACATTCAGGCAGGAAAATGCTATACATAGAAGCCGGTATGCATTTGTTGTGCGTTGACACATGTTGACACGCATGTCAAGAACCTCAAGTGTCAGTTTAGTTTTAAAAATTCAACAATAATATTCCCAGATCGGGCCCCATCATCTTCGCAGTTGTCTCTATATTTTTGGAAGACTCGGCATTTAGGGGATTCCAAAAACATGGAAAACGCTCCATAGATCTCCGCAAACCACCGTAGTTGTGCCTTTTTGAACGCTCGGGCACTTGCAATGTCAAACACCTCAAATGCTTCCAAAAACAAACCAAACAAATGTGTCTTTAAAAAAACTGGTGCCTTCATCATGCATGAGAGCAAGTGTAATTGGTTCGGTGATTCGGTGGGTTGATTGTCTTTTAGCGCTTGCAACCTATTGCAAACCACATACAAAGATCCAGGCCCCACGCCACCTCCTTCTGACAGCAATATGAGTTATACAAACCACACGCATGAACATTCAACACGAAAGAATAGTTGATCCGCGTTGATCCGTTGTTGTATACATCATCTTCAGATTCAAAGCTCTATGACTCCAGCCTGTGGAACCTAAGAGAGTGTGAATGCCTTGCTCGATGGCGATCCAGCCCACTTTCTCGCGCTCATCAACCTGCGGACCGGCTCGAACACTTGGAGACTTTCTAGGGGCGGTTTTCCATTCAGACATATACCCATCATTCTCATGCCCTCCCAGCTCCCTCGCTCCGCCTTCCCGTACTCGGTCGTCTCAGACCTCTCCAAGGCGACCTCGATTCGCGATCCGTCAAGCCGAGCCACTATGTCAAGACGGCTACGAGGAAATTCTGAGGCTTCGGCCTTAGTGCTATCCTCATTCACCCGCTGCACAGCAACCTCAGCAACGAAGGACGATTCAACAATTCCACCAAATCCAATCAGTGTCCAACGACAGCCAAGATTGTCCGAGCAACTGTCAACCAAGGCCGTGAGTTGGACGGCAAGCCTTTCTCGTTGTTCACCGTCTGAATGGTGGTCAACAAGGCCGGTGGCCGCGTGAAGGTGTGCTCGAAACGAGTTTCTTCAATCTCGCCCCAGGGATCCTGTTTGAGACCTCGATTCGTGGCTCGAGACCAAACCTCCATGTCAAAGTGATGCAACATACCGCAGCATATACGGACTAAAAGGAAATGACAAAGTATCAAACACTATCGTTCATTATGATAGTCTTGGTCTTCTGAGAAACAGCGTTCCGGGGCGCGTGGGATTGAAGCAAAGCATGCGCGCGCCAACCCCACAACGCAACTTTTACCGACCAGCCGACTCCGAACCATAGGTCAAACCATTGGTTTCATGCTGTGTCCACTTGATTTATGGCCACTCTCACGACTCTGTAAAACCTTTTCATGTTCCATGAGAAAACCTGCCGCATCACACGAGCCTTGCGCTATCTGTAGAAAACTACCTCAAACCAACCGCCAACCTCAAACCAATTGCGCCGAGTCGCCAGCAGGGCTGCATTTCTTGCCAAATTTCACGTCTTTCGTGTTGGTACGACCGGCCTCCATCCAAACACCGTTGAGTTCATGAACACCCGGCAAAACGGCCAGGTAGCTCACCTGCATGCTCTCATCTGATTGACCTCAAGATGGGTCAAAGGTCAAAGGTCAAACTGCGACGTCAATAGCACTGTGGCCTACGGATGCCTAAGAGGATTTAGGCGCCAAACAAAATGCAAAAAATGTAAAACTGCGAGATCGACCCTGGCTAGAACAAACAGTCACGATGGGCCTTTCCCTGTATTTCTATCAAAAACCATGTGGAAAAACAATTGAATACGTTAACGATGTTATTCTCACTGGCGCATTTTCCCGATCTTCCCCGCCTGGCTCCACCTTGCCGCTCTTAGGTGGCTTGGCGATGATGGCAGAGAAGCCGGTGGTGGTGATTTTCCTCACGCGGATCGCGGCCGGGCCTTTGCCCTTGGTCGGGGCAACGACCACCACAGGATCTCGGCTGAAAGGTTGTGTGAAACTCACACGGATCCACTCAGCGGTACGGACAGTGAACTCGCGGACTTCCAAGGTGGGTAGCACCTCAGTCAATTAGCTTGCGCTGAGGAGGATGGTTTCTTCGGTCATTGTGGTCCTCCGACTGGGTAGGTTGAATCGGCAATATCGCGTGGCCGGATCAGAGGTAAAGCGCACCATGAAACACAAAAAATCCACCGATGCCGGCCTATAGAACGATAAACGCGAGCGAGCGGGGCCAGCGTGTTCCTCTGAGACTCTCAGAGGGACGCCCGTAAGTGCAGGCCAATTTCGACCAGCCGCGTCTGAGTCAAGAGTCCCAGCGAGATTTGGCCTGGGTCGGTCCCCGCCTGTGCGCAAACGGAAATTGATTGCCACGTTCTCTGCTTGCACGGTTAAGACATGACGTCACAGGTGTAGAAAAGAGATTCCTTTTTCTGTCGCCAAAAGCTGTAAGCCAAGATGATGTGAAAGACGTGTGAGACGCGTGCGAAGGAGTCTGTTCTCTTAAGGTCTAGTTGAAGGTTTGCCAGATCTCTGGACCTGCTGTCATCATCAGTGCGTCTGTCAAAGCCGGGTTTCAGCAAACCAGTTTATCTGTGAACCGTTTGAAGCCGTGGAGAAAGAGTGCTGGGAGAAGTATGGAAAGATTTCGCAATTGAAAAGGAAATGTTCTTTAAGGTAGGCGTCGACTTTTTAAAAGTACGTGTGTGGAAATTGATGGAACTTGGAAATGGCTGCCTGCTCAGTGGCTGCATGCCAAGTGGTTTTCCCGGAGTTCCTCAAAAGTTTATAGGCATCAGCTTATTAATGTTGAATATTCTTACAATAGGGTTTTGGGCATAGGGCATAGGGTGCATGTTCTGACGCCCCACACTCGCTCCGTATATGAAATATTACTTTGATGGACTGTGGAATTACTAGAGGTTAACCAGGTTAGTGCAACATACTAAGCAGGTGTTAGGCCTGTGGTAAACCTATGCTAAAGGTATGTTAAGCAGTTATATCTTGAATAACTAGTTACCTTAGTTACTGAAAAATGTAAATGTTAGTTAACTTTTCTAATTTTCTAAAAACAAAACCAAATAATTAGAAAAGTTAGTGCTCCAAACAAACAATTTTCCAAAGCATTTTTGCAAGGTTGGCTGACCTAAAAACGCATTTCTTGAACAGAAAAATGGATAATTTCCCAATGATGTTTTGTGTTTATTTCACCTGCTGGCTGTTTTCCCACCTGAGCATGGTTTAAAAAAATGCTGTACAGGCACCAGGTATTGTTCTACCAGTAGCCATGCTTGGCTGCATGTTTTCAATTTGTGGCCTTGTTGTGGCTGCAATGTAAAGTTTTTCACACTAGCCACCTTTGGCTTCATGCCTTGGCCTGCCTTGGCTACCCAAGCAAACCTGTGACTTTTTACTAGCAACCTTTGGCTTCATGTCTTGGCCTGCCTTGGCTAACCAAGCAAACCTGTGATTTTTTGTCTTTCGAGCTGCCACCTTCATGAACTGGCAAAGAAACAAGCACTAAGCAAGCTGGCGCGCATGGCTTAATGATAAAATTTACCCAAGTGTGACACTTTCCTGTAGAGATTTGAGCCATGCTTGGGGCAGACCAAGTGAAGAACTTGGTGGAAGGCATCATCAACCAAAGTGATGTGGGAGCCACCCATAAGCTAGACAGAGTGTGCCAAGTCTTGAAAAAGCAGAAGTTAATGTCTGAGGCTGTTGTGACACCACAACAACTGTTCATTCATCCACAGAACCGTGGAGGCAGCATGGTTGGCTGCCATGACGCGCACCTCAAAGGCCAGCGCCTTCTTCACACTGGAGTCAGGGTTCAATTGTTGGAAGCCCACAGCTTTTGCATAGAGATGGCTTCAGATGACTCAGAAAGACAGCTGCAAATATCGAGGAATGAAGCCCTGAGTAGGGCATCTGAAGGCCTTTTGGCCAGCCCTACAGGAGAAGAAAGGTTCTTGAGCTTGAGCTTGGGAGCTTCTCATAGCTACGCCTTTGTGAAGTACTTGAGCCAAGGTTGCGTCAGCCCTTCTGGTGACAAACTGTCTTCAGATGTGGATGAGACCATCCATCGGTGCCAGCATGGTTGGAAGTGGCAGGTTTTCACAGCTCAGTGTGAAAAGTTGCTGCCCAATTTCCCCAACTTTGTGTCCATTGCTTTGAACTCCAGCAACAGCAACTCCATTGGTGGGACAGAGGTTGAGGCAGCTTCTCAAATTGTACAAATGTACAATTCTGGCACGCAGCTAGAGGACGCCATTTCCTTTGCCAAGGCTGGTGAACCAAAGTGCAAAGAGTATGTAGAGCAGGTGGGCTTGTTTGTCTCCAAGTTTGGTGGTGGCAAGCAGTTTCCATTGGTATCATTTTTGCATGCCTTCAGTACCTCACACAGACTTCAAAGATTCTCAGACCGTGTATCCCTTTTGCAGGGTGGCAAATTTGGCTTGCTGCTTGACTAGCAGCACAAAGAGTGATGTTGAGAGATTGAAGAGTGTGACCTTGAAGGCCCAAACCAAAAGTGTGGGAACTTTGCTGTCTAAAGGTTGGAAGGATTGGGTGAATGCAGCTTGCCCAAAGATGATCAGCATGTGGCTTTTGGTCGCTTTGCTGTCAGATTGCTTCTCCACTTGCTGAAGAAAACCGACAGGGAAAAGGCTTTTGAGTCAGTCGCCCAGATACAGGAGAGATTTGCAGAGGATTGTGTGAAGCTGTCCAAGCCCAGTGGGTCTTCAGATGAGAAAGCTTCAGGGCCCTTGGAAGTGACTGATGTTGCGCGCTCCTCTATGGCTAGGCCCTTATGCAAAATCAACATCTGCGCATTGGACAGCTGCAGCTTGGCTGCACTGCTGGCTGCCTTTGCATCATATAGCAATTCTGTTGTTCAATTTGTTTTGAGTGCTGAAAAGATTTGACAACCCAAGGTACACACACAAGGAACATGAAGGCATCCTTTTTGAGCTGGTGGGCATTGATGACGCCTATACTACCTTTGTCCACCTACCCCTGTTTGGTGACAAGGTGACCAAGCAAGTCGGCATAGATGATTTGAAGGCACGGCGGCCTACCAAAAAAGAGCAACCAAAGAAGTGCACACCAGAAATGGTTGCTTTGCACTTTTTTTGAAAACTCAAGTTTTTTCTTGGAAGAGAGCAGGAGGGCAAAGGTTCAACATTTGCTCTTGCAGGGCTACCAAGACAGCTTGCAAGGCCAGAAGTCACTGCATGAAAGCCTGCGCTTTGTGTCACCGCCCTCTGGTCTATGGGCTTCCAAGAAAATTCCCAAGGGCAAGCTGAAGCTATGGCCCTGTGGCTCTGTTAGCAAAGTGAAGGATAGCACCACCAACAACAATGGCTGGGTGGTGGGATTGGAAGGTGTATCCTGCAGCATCACTCCCTTCAAGGCCTTCACAGATTTTGTTACGCCGACCAAAGACAAACACGCTCATCTCTTGGTACCTTTCTTTTGGGTGAAAAGGAACAAGGAAGAGGGCTCAGGCAACATGGAAGTGAAAATGATGAGCTATAATGGGTTGAAAGTGCCCACCCTGGTGAACACTGATCAAATTGAAGCATCTGTGCAGTTGCTTCTGGAGGACAAAGTTGATGAGGTGAAGCCATCTGCCTCCAAGAAAAGAAAGGCAAAGTAAGTGGACACTTGAAAGAGTGATGTTCAGTGATGTTTTGCATGAGAGTGAAAAGAAACATCAGCTACTTCTGGCACCCGTCTGGGCATAGCCTTTTTTTGGCTGCTTCTCCAGTAGCTTCATTTGGCTGCTGCATTCACCCAAGTGTAGCCTCAAATTGGCTGGAAAGCATGAGTAGTGTTTTGGGTCCTCTGGTTCAAGACTGAAAGCTTGCTTTTGCCCTAGCACCTTTCCACCATGGAGCCGGAGATGGCAAGCAAATGATAGCGCCTGTGACCTTGCTGGTGGAGTGGCAGGAGTTTTGCGCATCAAAGCCACTAGCTCCACTATCATCACTTTGATTTGTGGCAGCTGCCCAAAAAATGCTAGCCTCGGTACTAGCCTCGCTGCATCTGATGGATTGTCAGAGCTTCTGTCTCTGAGAAACAAAGTGGCCATGGGCGTCTCAGAGAACAACGATGAAGGTGAAGTTTTTGAAAGTGCAGCAAAAAAAGACAGCAAGTGCACTGCAGACAAAACAGTGGAGGTGGGTTGCAATGGCACAAGCATCACTGTCCTGTGGCAAGGAACAAGACCTTCCAGGTCAGACCTTATGGCGCTGGTTGATGAAACTATGCTTGCAGCTGTCTTTCAAAAGATCAAGG